CTGTATCTTCCATCAGGACTACCTCAGCGTCGGTGAAAGATGCACAGAGCTTATGCCTCTCATCTTGAGAAGCAAGAATATGATGACTGTTGCAGACGTGCAAGAAGTACACTCACTTGCTTTGAAGGAATACCAACTCTGTGAAATAATAATATAGACAACATACAATATACAATATACATGTGTGTATATATGTAAGTGTATTAGTATATGTGTGCATGCACACATATATTCTCATGAGTTTCCTCCTTGATCACTCTCCATCTTATCTTTGAGATAGGAGTGCACTAAATTCAGCATTTATCTTTGGCTATAAGGGCTGACTAGTAAGTTCCATAAATCTGTCTCTATGCCACCTGTATTCTATGCCTGGTTACAGGCAATGAAACATGTGTGCATTGTTTTCATGGCTGCTGGGGATTTGAATTGAAATCCTCTTGCTTGTCTGCCGGGCACTTATAAGGACCACTCTGCCTTCCCAGGCCAATCTGTTCTTTTTCAAAACTTTTCAATATTTGCTCTAAAGTGGATGCAAAATTACTACCTTCTTTTGGTTCTGGGTTTAAAGCACTTTAGAGTAATTTTCTTCCTTAACCCTGCCAGTTATACAGATGGTTTTTCTCCTTTAAAGATAAGGTAGATAAAATATCAAAAGTCTGAGAGCTGACAGAAGTGTCCCATTCCAGCAAGCAGTTCCATCAGATGTAAAAGCAGGTTACATTTACCTTTGAGTATCTGGCATTATGCAGGACACTCTTCTCTCTGAGGGAGTCTTTAGTTGACTCATGGGGACTGTCTTCAGGTCCTGTTGGCATCGCTCAGCTTTCGAATGCTTTCCATTTTTGAGCTGGAAAATAGAGCACAGATTTTAGCCAACGGCAAAAAGACAATCTGAAGGGAAACCAAAGTGTACAACACATGTTTCTTACAGGGCAGGGGAGAAACCGTTGATTTTAGTAGTTAGAACAGGGTCTTCTCGTGGGGGTATTCAGTAAGGCTCTGTGTGTGGACACTTGAAAGAAAGGACTTCTCTGGTTGAAGCCCACATCAGAGGAGGAGTTTACAAAATCATTCAGGAGAGCCAGCAGCAGGCTACCTCCTATCCCTTTTCTGAGGACGGCTTTTGCTCTTATGCTTCCAGATGTCCTCTGATTGGTGTTTCTCTGCTGACCAGTGTCTTATGGCCTGTGTGGTTTCCCCAGCACTGTCGCCACCATATCTCACAGAAAAACACTGGAAAATCCTCCCTCCTCCATGTTATGAATTTGCTCCCTGCTAACATGAAGATGAATAAAAAAAAAGCTTTCTAGACTGTTTTATGGGTGCATTAAAATATCACCTTGTCCACGAAACTACATACTACAGGAGGTGAAATAACACAGTCTGCTCAATGGCACAGAGATAAGACATGAACTACAAAGATGGCTGCAAACGAAGGCAAGAACTCACTAGCTCAGATGCAGGTGTGGTGCCTTGTAAACGAGGACGTTCTAGAAGGTTCTACAATGTTGAAGGCAAAAGTCCCTGGTGGTTGCCATTAAGGGTTGTATAAAGGCAAGATGGTTACAGTGCATGCATACAATGCATACAATGCGTGCTTTTATTCCCAGCACTGGGAGGTAGAGGCAGATGGATCTCTGTAATTTCAAGACTAGCTTGTTCTACAGAGTTAGTTCCGGAACAACTGGGGCTATACAAAGAGACCATGTGTAGAAAAACAACAAAATAATGCATAAAAAATAAGAATGTGAAGTACATCAAAAAGAAATAAAAGCAGCAATTGAAGTATAAACCCACGACTGTGTGCTCTAAAGTGAGAGAACGATGCTCTGCCTAATGACATGCTGATGTTGGAAAAGTAGAATGACTGAATTTAAATGTTTCACCAAGGTAATAAGGCATATATTTTCATTGTGCTATTCCATGTTTCCAACTCAACACAGAACAAGTCAAAGGCTGGCATATAGATGATTCCAAATAAATGTGTGCACAAAAAATAATGACCCTGTACTGTGCAGCTAACATTCAGGAAATAGCTGGCTTCCTTAGCTTATGATGTTGAATTACATCACACGGTAGCTGACGCAAAATAGACTGGGTTGTTTGTAAGTATATTTTGAATGTTCATGAAAATAAAATTTAAAAAATTCAAGGAAAGGAAATACTTTTCTCTCTGTTCCTGTCTCTATTTCTCCTCTGTGTGTGTGTGTGCATGTAATTGCGTGCACTAAGTAGTTGTGTATGTGTGTTTGTCTGTCTGTCTCTTTCTCTTTCTCCTTCCCTCCATCCTACCTTCTCTCCTCCTTCCTTCCACCACTTTTGTTCTTTTGTACGCAAATTACCCCATCTCTCTCTGTCTCTTTGTCTCTGTCTTTGTCTCTTTGTCTCTGTGTGTATGTGTGTGTATGTGTAAGTGTGCATGTATGTGTGTGTGTATGTGTATGTGTGTCAGAAAGAGAGACAGAGACAGGAACAGAGAGTGGCAGAAAGACTCACACAGAGAGTTAGAGAGAGATCAGAGAAGGAAAGAAAAAGAGAGAGGAATACTTGTGCGTGTGTGTGTGTGTGTGTGTGTGTGTGTGTGTGTGTGTGTTTTGTAACTAACTAGCCAATAGACTTAAAAAAAAAGGAAAGTAAGAATGAGATTGAACTAGAAAGGATTTTTTAATTTGTATTTTCTTTGTGTGTGTATGTGGGGGGGGGGGGACACAGAGTGTATGTGCCATGGTCAAAGGACAACCTAGTAGAATGGGATACAGTTTTCCAGCATGTCATCTACCCGTCTCAGAAGATGTAGGAAGAATATATATTTAATAGCTGATTTTATGCTAATGATAGTTTTGGTTCTGTGTTCACATATGTGCACATGTGGGCAGGTGCACTTGGAGGCCAGAGTAATCTCCCTGAATCTGGAGCTAGAGGTAATAGTGAGACTCCTGGCCTGGGTGTTCTGAACCAAACTCAGTCATCCCGCAAAAGTAGTACATGCTCCCTACCTAGAGCCTTCTCTCAATCCCCAGGTAAAGGTTATGAATAGTGGTTTGATCATAAGATTTGATTAGTAAAATTACATATTTTTCATCAGAAGGCTGGGCAGTTGGGGAAAGAGAGGAGTAGGGAAATTGTTGACAAGGAAACCCATTGTAGGTGATATGAAGCAAGTCCCTATGGAAAGAGCTGCTGAACTGGTTTGTCCTCCTCTCCAGGTGGTGTCATGCCACAGGCTGAATAAATATTTCTCTGCAAACAGCGTAAATGAGGATGAAACCACACAGCAAAACAGTAGCCGGTGCTTTAGTGTTGCTGCTCATGACACCCCTGGATTTCCCAGCAAATGAACATAGTGATATATGTGAACAGCACAATTCTATGCATGGCCATCAGGAGGTGATGTTTCTACCCAGTGCAGTGCAGGGACGAATGGAAATGAAAGGGTGTTTAGGTTCCTAACTTGGTAAGAATTATAGAATAGCAACATCTGCAAATGTTGAAACATTGAGAGTTCTAGACCAGTTCAATTCCATAGGGTAGCAAAAGCTTCATCTCCCCATAGAAGCCGTGACATTTCAGCCAAAGAATTGTTATAATATTCTAAATAACTCCAAGTAGCAAATCTGATTCGAAATTAACCATCAAGACAAACTCTTAAATGAATCACTTGAAAACCTTTAAAAAGTACTATTCATCAAAATATAATACTGCATTTGTGTAATAAAAATTATCTGAAAATATGTGTATGTAAAACCACTGTACTCCACTCTTACTTTATTCCTAGTCAATTAGAAGAACATTGACTTTGAAAAAAATTCACAAGGTAGAAATGCTGATTAAACATCTCTGAAACTCGCTTTAGCACTTGTTTTCTATGTTACTCTTGTTTAGAGAGCTATAGCTTAATTCTTAATATGCTATATAGTGGTTCTAAGAAGTAGACTGCAATATTAATATTTCCGTATTCACTGTGTCAATTCATTTTAATTCCTTTCTGACAGGAAATGGAGAGAGACACCATGATATATTCATCAGGTTTTAGTTTCTGGAAGAATTTCAAGGATTCTTTATTGCCAATGGAATTAAAAAATCACATGATACATACATCACCCCTTCTACCTATGTTTGTTGCCATAATTATATTCTAAGGCTTGCAAGTATTGGTCTTGCCTTCAATTAAAAAGTACAGATGCACATGCCTATTTGTATGATTTTAATAATACTTTAATCTTCAAGACTTTTTAAATAGTATGTTCAGAAAGATATTGCTAGACATGGACATTGAGGAGGACAGATTGCTTTTTCATGACGAACCTTTAAAACAGAAAACTATTACAGATTGAAAGAGCACTAAACCATGAATATTATGGTCTATGCATTTGTCCTCATTTTTCTTTGGTGTGCTCAATGGTCTTGGGTAAGATATTCTTCTATTTTTTCAATACTTTATTTTTAATTGGTTATGCCATTTTTTAAAATAGTATTATATTTGGGCACGTTTTTGAAGCTTATAAAAGAAGAGATGAGGAGGGGGCAGAATGGTGGTAGGAAATGATGTAGCAAAGCATTTCCAAAGTTTCTTCTGTTTGCCAAGTGACACCAAACTCTACCAGTAAGCATATCATCATAAAGTGAGAAGTGCTGCTGTCATAGAACAAAGCAGATGTTGTGATATTGAAATGTGATGCATTTTATTTTTGTTTGGGATTTTTTCTGGTGTAACAGAGTTAAAAATGAAAAAAGAAAGGATGCAAGTGTGAATAGATCCATGCATTGGAGGGTGAAAATATGGTAAAATTTCCCAATTAAGTTTTGTTGTTTGTTTTTGTGGTGGTTGTTGTTTTCCTTTCCTAAGTTTAGATAAGTAAGTTTGGACAAGACACCTCTGTTGGGGAAGTCCTGTGTATATGTCAATAAATTACTGCTGGCCAATAGGAATCTAGATAGGTGGGGCTAGGAGTCCAGGAGGATTCTGGGAAGGAGAAACACAGGAGAACACAGAGAGTCAAGATGTAACGCCATTGGGGTAGGAAGCCCGGAAACCTCTCCGGTAAGAGACATACTTGGATTAACAACTATGGGGTAATTACTTAAATCAGAGCTAGCCAGTAAGAAATGAGCAAGGCCAACAGCTTCATAATTAATATAGCGTCTTGTGTGTTTATTTGGGGACTACAAAGCAGCAGAGCCCAGGCGACTGGCGGGGGATAAACCAAAGCGGCTAGCAAGGAAAAGCTTCTCGTAACACACCTCTCCAAGCTTACTCTTGCCTCTCTGTTGGTTAGATGACAAAGAGAGTACAACACATGTGAAAGATGTTAACAAGGGAACGTGAGGGATTGGATTGGAAGGATTAGGAGAGCAATGAAAGAGATGTCTTGATGGGATCAGGCATCTCGGGATTAGGAAGAAACCTGGTGCCAGAGAAAATTCCAGCAATCGACAAGGATGACCCTAGCTAAGACTCCTAGCAATATTGGAGAGGGTAGTTGAACTGGCCTTCTCCTGTAATCAGTTTGATGACTACCCTAGTTCTCATTGTAGAGCCTTCATCCAGTAAATGGTGGCAACATTTGCAAATATCAACAGCCAAGCACTGGGCCCCATTCCAAAAATCAATCCAAATTTTAAAACTAATGTAACATTTTTCTTTACGTACTATGACTTTATTTATGGTAGCATTTCATTTCACTTTAAATAACAAAGTGTTAGCATCATGAGATATATGGAATGTAAAAAACACATTTAATTTCAAGGAATTTGTACTAAATTTATAAAATAGAAAATTTTGAAGTACCTTTTTTATCCTAGGTTGGCTTTAAAAATCTCTATGTAGCCAAGGCTTGACTCACTGGTAATCCTCCTGGCATTGCCTCCCAGTGCTATTCTGAAAAAGATGAATTTTCCAATAGGTGCTACAGTGAAGCCTGATTAAATATTGAAAGCAAGATAAAGATTTGTAAGGCCAGAGAAGGGTTTCAGAAAGTGAATTGAGTTTGGAAGCATCTATGGAAATCTGTACAAATTATTGCTCAGCCTATCATCTGGACATTGTCACAAGTTTTGTTATTTCTTCCATAAACTATTGGAAAAGCTTCTAAACTGATTCTGTATTGTCAGTTTTCAACTCCTAAAAATTCATGAATGGGTTTAACTAGGGAAATTTTAAACTTGGCATGTAGAAGTTGTAGCATATACACAATTCTATACATTTTCCCCCTTGGATTAAGTACCCTATGTATTCCAGAGGAGTGTTAGTAGTGTCCCTCCATATAAAATGAACTTAAATTACTGAATGAGATTTTATATAAGTTTTGGAAATAATAATTAAAGAGAGAGAATGTAACATAAAACTTTATAAAAATATGTATGTTTGTACAACAAAAGAAAGTATTAATCTCAAGTCCTAAACAAAATTGAAAAACCAAGTGGAATTTTTTTTAATTTTTCTAAGATTTTAGACAATCTTTGAAAGACAGGAAACCTTTCATGAGTTTTCAATATCTGGGTTTACTTCTTGCTTGTGTGAATGGTTTCCATGAAGGGATTTTGTTTTTAGATGATGCTTTTGTCTGACTATCTGAGACGCAGTATCAGCGAGGGCATCTATATCTGAGAGTGGGATCTCCATTTGAAAATACCATTTCCTGCCCTGCAGCTGGGAAGTGTCTGTTGGAACATCTGTGAGATAATCAGCTACTATTCACCAGATATCTCCATGGCCTGGTGTCCTGGGATTTGGAGCTGGTCATTTCAAAACAATGCAGAGACTGATCTGTACCCCCATGGGCAGCTGAGAATGTAAATGGATTTCAGGTGCAGAGGTAGTATCACTTACCACCGAAAGCTCAAAACAGGAACAAGCTTCAGATCTGGGAAAATTCAAAATAACACAACAGATCTAACCATGACAAGCCAAGCCACAGTCTTGGAACAGCAACCCCAGAAAACATGTGGATTGGTGTAGATCGATAGACATATGCAGTCACCAAAATGTGTTCACTGAGTAACTGGTTTAGACCAAAGAGGAGAGGATGAAAGGCAGTTATATTTAATCTGCATTTTTCCTAATATGCTTACTCTACTTTTAAAATCTAAAGAGATGGCAGCTATATATAGTTCAGTGAGAGAATGCTTGCCCAGCATGTGTAATAGCCAGCACTCATTCTGAAATCCAGAAAAAGAAAGAAAAGAATACAAAAGAACTTCTGTCTTTGTGTTGATTGATGCGATATTTTTAGTGATGCTACAGGTTGCAGCCCTTTCACAGGAAGAACACAGGGTTTTGAGAGAGCTAGGATGAAGAAGGGAGTGTTTGACACGCATCAGATGTCTTCTAACTTTGATATCTGCATCTGTCCACCGAAAAGGTGTGGGTGTAGGCTTAGAATTGCATCCCTGTCCTGACAGAGTGAATTGATGCAAGGTACCCTTAATAGTAGAAACTGTGGTTTGATGTGTGGGTTTGGTCCTTATTTAACTCGTTTAAAGTAAAGCACTGCCACAGAAATCAGTTCCAGCCCAGGAATTAGAGATAGCTAAATGTTTTGTCATCCACCATAAAGGAGTTATTTTTATTCTCAGCTAGTATCCAAAATTGATGTTCTCATCACTTATGCAAATCATATTAAGGAAGAAAAATAAATAAATGCAATCTTTTTGCAAATGCTTTAGCATCAGATAACCAAAAAACTTTAGTACAAACCTTATTGTTTCCACATGTTCATATTTTATTTTCAAATATGATAGCACACATACACACATGTCCATACATAAATACCTAAAGTGCACCTCTTGGGCTTCGATACAAGTTTTTTTTTCTCTCCAACATCCTGACATTAGAAAAGTATTTTATCAGTATAATCTCTTTCATAAAAGCTACTACTATTGATAGTAACTGGGGGTTTTGTTATTATTCCCATACATGAAAGAAAAATAACTATGCAAAGAATTGCAGTTGCTACATTTCACTTCTGTATATTGTTTCTCTCCTTTAACATATGAGAAAATTTAAAGATACATATATTGTCCAAGGTTAAACAGCAAGTAATTCAGCCGGGCGTTGGTGGCGCATGCCTTTAATCCCAGGAGATAGTAACTGGGGGTTTTGTTATTATTCCCATACATGAAAGAAAAAATAACTATGCAAAGAATTGCAGTTGCTACATTTCACTTCTGTATATTGTTTCTCTCCTTTAACGTATAAGAAAATTTAAAGATACATATATTGTCCAAGGTTAAACAGCAAGTAATTCAAATAATCATGATTTCACTAAGGCATCACTCCTTCCCATCTCCTGTGCTCTTTCCATTTAATATCTCCTCTTCAACTTTACTGCTTTCTCCTGTGTCCCTTCTGGACTTCACCACTGCACAATACCTGAGCTCTAGCTCCAGGCTTTGAATACAAAGTCTGTTGCTGGATTTCCCACCCGATTCCACAGCCATCTTGCCCGAAATAAACACACAGATGCTACATCAATTATTAAACAGTTGACCAGTATCTAGGCCTTCTTATGGGCTAGCTCTGTCTTAATTTTTAACCCATTTCTGTTAATCTATGTATTTCCACGTGGTCTTGGCTTACCAGAGAATGCCTAACCCTGGCGAGTCCTCTTTTCCCTGGCTTACATCATAACTCCTGTCTGCCTATACTTCCCAGAATTCTCTGCCATTTGGTATCCCCACCTATCCTTCCGGCCTGGCTACTAGCCACACAGTGTTTTATTCATCAACCAATAAGAGAAACATATATACAGCAGGACTGACCCCATCAAAAGTCCTGTCTTGGTCTGAAAATAAGACATGGCATCTCTTTATTTAAGTGCTTAGGATCTTATTTCTGAGCAGGGAAATGATATTGACCCACATTTGAAATTTCCCACATTTTTCATAATCAATGAGAAGAAATGGAAACTTGTCTAAGTCCGTTTATTACAATGGTGACTAAACTTATAACAACTTCTCCTTGATTTTTTACTTATAAACACCAAATCAACTTCTCCTTTGTTTTTAAAGTAACTTATACAAATAATCTGAAGTTTCAGGCTCTTCAAATTACTATCTATGGAGTTCATATGGATTAAACATTTTTAGCTCCAATGTCAATTACACACTTTACATTTTAGCTTTAAGACTATATTCTGGGATATTAGCTAATGTACCAAAATATACATAGATTCTTCAGGAGTAAATAAAATCCAGTATATTTAAAAGGGGGTATTCTTCAGCATATAATGAGATTACCTCAAGTGGAAAATATTACAATTCAAACATGATTTAATATGCCAAACTAAGCAAGGATTGTATCAGAAATCTGTAGTGTAAAGATTGCTTCCCCTGAAGCTCAGACTTTTGTTGCTGCTGCTCCAAATCTCAAAAGATTTTGACCAAAACATACCATATGTAAAAAATCTTTAAATGTTAAAAAAATGCAAACTATATAAAAAGAGTACTGTGGTCAATCTTGCTAGCCTGAAAAAGATCAAAACTCAGAATTCATGAAGTGGTTCCTACTGAAGCATATTAGCTTTGCACCATGATGAGTTCAGGTTGTCTGAAATCCCATCCTCCCCTTTACATTGACCACTATTTTCACATTTCCTGTTCCAAGGTATGTTTCCTCTGTAAAGGATACTGTCATCCAACCAGTTCTCAAGACAGAAATTCTTAGCCTTTATTTTATTCTTACCAAATAACTCAACATAAATGATTAAAGTTAATCTCATTGAATCTACCAAACATATTGCCTCGTTTTTGTCTTTTCTTCTCTCCAAATGATCATTGCAATTGCATAAGATGTTACACACTTTGGAATATACAGAAAAACAAAAACAAAACAAAATAAAACAAAATCTCCAAAACCAAAATGTTTCCAAGAGAAGGAATCAGATTTTACATTGTAGCAGACAATGAAATATGTAACAACGATGATAATGATAACCATTTTGTTTAACAAATATTTTTTGTCTCTAACAAATATTTTATCATTAATTTTTAAAGCAGGCTAAGTCATCTAAGTATACATTTCTTGCATTTTCATTAACTGGACAATAAGTCTTCCACTATGTACCTCAACTGTTGGGGTGAATAATACGGAGTGTGCTATAGACTCTTACCAGGATTTTTTTTCTCATTACAACCAAACCAATCATTAAACTAGAGTCTTACACTAGCCAATCAATATTTGTATTGTGTTTGAAAATTTTATCTTTTCTATGTCACACTAACAGATTAAATATAAGTGTCCCTTACTGATATTTGTCCAATTGTGAAATCACAGAAATTATGCTATCCTTTCTTAGAAAACTGAAGTATTATCTTCCAAGTAGTAGATTTGACAGACAGAAATAAATCAAAATGAGGCATACAAAGTTAATCTCTCTGGGAATTTTTCAATAAACAACAGCAAATAGCTAATCTTCTTATCTGTGTTTATTAAACAAGATAGCTACAATAGTATTCTCAAGATCCAAATACTTAAAATTTCCAATTCCATTTTCACCAAGTATCAGCTGAATTTAAATTAGCAGCCAACTGTTTTCTTACTAATATATATTTAATTCAATTCACATAGGAAATATTTGTCTTATATTTTCTAAGGCTAAGACATAAGTTTGAGAGAATTTCATCAGATGCAATTCTGTTGGTGGTGTGTTTTTCTTCTTTCACAGAAGGACTTTGTTGAATCAATATTCTTTCCATGGAATTAGCCAACTAGTGTCATAAGATTTTATAAGTGTATTTTAGCAGTCATTAGTTCAATAGGAAATAGAAATAATTACAAGTCAATTCATATCTCTAGTGTCAATATCTTTCCTTTTCATTGTTTCTGAAATAAGTCTAATCAAGAGTGGTATAACTTGGAAACTGAAGTTTTTAAAATATTGTAGAAAACTATAACACTTTTTAAAAATCAACTTTTTCCCCAAATCATTATATTACTCAACTCCAAAGGGTATCATTCAGGTAGAATTGACCTGATAGGGTTTAAAATGTAACATTCTGTCCTGTGATGTCTTTTCTTCAAGTCTGTTAGGGGAACTACAATTGACTTTTCTGTCTTGCCCATAGATCAATGTCCTAAACAGAAGAGGTCATGTCTATATTTTTGTTTCATCATTTTCTAGTACACTGCCTGATACAGACTGTACTGATAGAATCTGTTCTTTGTACTGAATGAAACTTCTGTGCTTCAAAGTATCATCCAGGGAGCTCTTTTGGAGATTTTGGCTAGCAGCATTATCTTTTCTCTGATAAAGCTGACTTCAACCCAAAGCACAACCTAAAGAGATCGGTGAATGGAGCCTGGATAAAGAAGATGCTGAATTTATTAGGACAAGGATTTGTTCTCAGAGGCAATGGGCTGAAAATGGCTTGAGATGAACTCCATGCTTACCCATATTCAAAGTTCCTACTCTGTTTACTTCTTCCTCAATAACTAAACAGCCTCTCTCAAAGTAACTGTCATTCAAATTTTTACGTCAGTTTACCATATACTTTTACTTTTTTTTTAGTTTTGCTCTCCTAGATATTACAATGAGTTGACAGTTCATTAGCAGCCTACAAATGACCTGGAGCTGTTTTCTCAGCTGTTGAAACATGGACTCCTAGAGGGAGACTCAGGAGACTTAAGAGACTCACGAAGATAAAGAAATTGGAGACATTAAGAGATTTCTCCTAGCAGTTATGCAGGCAGTGACCACAGGCAGTTACCACTTGTCTTCAGGTAGTGCAGGAGGTCCAGTGATGTGGTTGTAGAGTCCTCACCCCTGCTGGAATAGGCTTTCCATTGGTGCAGCTCCCCAATAAATATCCTGGTCACAGGCCAAATTTGGACTTAATCATTTATTTTTTCTATTCTTGCCCTATGTGGCAAATACTTATTTCTGCTGTTTCCCCAAAAGATATCACACAACTCATCTGGACCCTCACAGCTAAAACTTTCAATTATTTGTACTTCTTTTACATCTTATTATAAAAAAATATACTACCCAGGGCTAATGAAATCATGGAGAAGAACTTAAAACTTCCTCTTTACTAAATTAGCATAATCTCTAACTACATTCTAAATATGTGTTCTTATATCCACAGGTAAGTGCAAGCCTCAATTATCATCAAAGAAACTTCTATTTGCAACATACAGAGAACACTACAGAAATAGGTACTATTGTTTTACTAGAGTATTTACACTGAAAACTCTACGTAATTTCATAATTTATATCTTTATTAACTCCAATTTCATAATGATGAAGTGCATTTTTCCAGTGTTGGTTTTGTAACATTTTTGTCTTTGTGTAGCTATGAAGACAATAAAAAAATCACATTTATGGAACGTTACTCTTCTCATACAGTTGAGAGCAGAACGTATCTGACACCAATAAGTAAATTATATAAATTTTCACGACTTGAATAATGGGACTATGGTACCAACACATTAAAGCAAAGTTGCATTACTTAGACCCATTTAAAGGAACGGTCAGCAGTAAGGTGGTTATGGTTACTTGAGTCCATTGCTCTTAAGAAGAGAGCTAATGGAGATATTCACTCCTGAGTAGCACAAGTAAAATAATAGCTGAATATTCCAAATTAAGGAATCTTCCAAGAAATCTTGATGAAAAAATTCCCCAGTAAATAAACCTGCATTCATATCCTATGCACATGATAATTGTACAAAGTGGATTACTAAGATAAAATTAAATTAACACTGATAATTTTAGAAAACATAAATTCCAGTTCATAACAATGTCTGTCAACTAAAAATTATTTACTCCTTATTTCACTTGGCCTCGTCACTAAATTTTATCAGAATCAAAAAGAATTATTAAAAAGGAAAGACAAGTGCTTGAGAAAAACACAAAATAGATCAAAAGATGTTATCCATTCTGTGTATTTCCTTGCAGTATACTATATAGACCCAGAATGTCTGAGAGCTCACAGTTATAGAGCTGGATATTTAATATGATAAATTATGTGTATGTGCAGAAATAACTGACATCTTATTTTGGAACATCACCAAAAATATAATTGGGCATGTTCTAAACTTCATTCTAGTTTCACAAAATGATTTTCCCCTCTGAGCAAGTTAGAGTAAGTCTTCACTTTAATGATGAAGCTTTTGTGTTGTAATGAGTGTCCCTTCTGTCTGTTTCTACCTTATGACAATAGCACTAGTCCAAGGCATAGAAATATTAAAGGAAGAAAACCTATTGAGAAACGAGAGGAGAGCTCACTCATCCGAACCTTTACAAAACCTGTAAAAGTTCAGAATTAAGATATAAACATTAGGGTGCTCAAATACAGCTGTCTATGGAGACCTAAGATATCTGGCTGACACCAAAAAGCTTTCCTCTTTAATTTTCCTATTTACAGCTGACAATTTAACTACCACAGACTATCCATTGCAATAAGTATTCTCGCTTTTCTGATACCAGTTCCTTGTGTGTATGTTCTTTTATTCCAAGAAACAGAAAGTCACCTATAAATCAAAGACAACTAAAGAAACTAAATGCTTTGTTCTGCAATTGATTCATTATTACCTAATTTGCTTATAAGTAATAAGGAGGACCTTTTGGAGGGAAATATATTTTTTTGCTTGGCATGTATATATTAAGTCAGAAAGACATTTTCTTTGCTTCTCAGTTAACAGTCATCAACATAAAATATGGTGAGTTAAATATGCTCATATGATCTTTAGCTTGACTTTGTCACTACTTCTAGGGCTAGTGTTTTAGACTAGACAAAGGACTAGATTTTTCGTCACTACTTTAGGATGGTCTAACTCACTCTCTGCATTTGTTTGGTTGGCAGATTTCATATTATGGACCAGGTTGTGGAATTAACTTTTAGTAGGGTCACAAAGAGGATCGCTTCTTATACCTGTTTTAGAAATGGAGGTTAGAAGTTTTAGGAATCCTTGGAAATTTTGTTCTAATTGTATAACAATAGCCACATTTTAAATGATCTCTGCAGAAGCCAGGCAACCAAATAGTTTGTCAGAAAGGAGAATTTGCCTGATAGTAAAAATGTTACTTTCAGGTGGCAGGAACAAATGGTCATTTGCTACATTCTGAATGGAGGAATTGAATGGGATTCACAAGGACTAATATCAGTACTTTCGAGTACTGATCTAGGAAACTAAACCAGGGACATCAGCATTCCTATCAGGACTTCTCAATGGTCAGTGTCAGAGAACAGGAAGGAAATTGACTAATTTGCTTTGAACTGAAAATATGTTGACCTATGGGATTGAAAGAAATAAGGTGAAGGGTTTAATTTGGTAGACACCAGTGATCTTCAAGAATGGCCCATGGGGTAAAGTTAAAAAGAAATAAAAGATGAGGTAGGAAATTGACTTAATTAGAAAAACAAAAATATTCATGCCTTGTTTCAAAGGAAAATGAGATAACTAAACAGACAAACTCACTGAACTCTCTCTTGATTCTTGCAATTTCTGTAAATAGAAAGTCAATATGAGAATATGGCAATATACTTCTGTTCTATATAGAACCAATAGAATGGCATGATAGAAGGAGAACAGAAATTAATGCTTTCATTACTGTAAACTCTAAAATAATTCTGAATTCAGTTGCATATAATAAAAAGAAGCCAGAAAATTTTTAGTGCATGCTTAGATTTTTGCCCTCTTTAGAGTTACTATTGCTGTGATGAAACACCATGATCAAAATTAACTTGGAGAGGGAAGGGTTTATTTGGATTACACATCCACATCACTGTTCAACATTAAAGGAAGTCAGGACAGGAAATCAAACATAACATGAACCTATGGTGAATTGCTTATACAGATGTCATGGAAGAGTGCTGCTTACTGGCTTGTTCCTAGTGACTTCTTTAAACTGCTTTCTTATAGAACCCATGAAAACCAGCCCAAGGATGGCCATACCCACAGTGTCCTAGATGACCACACCAATAATTAATTAAGAAAATACCCTATAGGCTTGCCTACAGCCAATCTTACGTAGACATGTTCACACTTGAAGCTCTCTATTCTCCAATGGTTCTAGCCTTTGTCACACTGGCATGAAATTAACCAGCACAGATTTATATTCAAAATGTCAGAAAACATAAATTATAATTGAGTATTATAGTTGTCATCATTATTAACATTTTAGGAAGATCATATACTGTTTTGTGTCTTCTAAATCTTAAGTCACACTATTAAGTAGGGGCAGATAGATGTTTTCATTACATACAGTTGAATCTTATAATTGCTATTATTATTAGAGAACACAAATTATACAACAAATTTGTTTTATTCCTGTCATAATCTATTGCATCATCATTTATACAGATAGATTCCTTCTAGATTTAATGATACCAGAAAAGCAATATTGAAGATGAATTTATTTTGTGAATAAACATCCTAGAATTCCCATGACAGAAGATACAAACAGCAATCTAAACAATGTGTTCAATATCTATAGCATTTAGTACTAAATGCACACGTAAGAAACGTTTGGTTAAAAAGTTAGCAGATATTTGTTGGATTTTTAGTTCCAGGATTAATATTCCCATCTATAGTAACAGTTACCTTTCTTTTTAAATATTTTATTTAAAAATATGTGTATGAGTATGTTACCTGCATGTATGTGAGAGACTCAGGCACCAGCATGTCTGTGATCTGCAGCCACATCACAATACCTGAGCATCCCAGCTCTGAGCCCAAAGCCAGTGAAAGAAACACTTTAATCCCTGAACCCAGAGCCACAGAAAAACATCCTGAGCCTAAAACCAGCACAAAGATAACCTACTACTTTGCCTGTAGAATCAAAGTCAGTTAAAGAAATATGCCCTGGCTTAAAATTAGACCCTAAAACTAAAAAGGACCAGAGAAAGAAACAGAGTTTGGTCCTGAAATCACAGCCATCTGTCCCTGACAAAAAACCAACCAATCCCTGAGCAGAAAAAACAGATTAAACCCTGAATAGGGAAGGAGTAGCCTCTAGTCTAGAGGCATGACCTTTTTCAGACCTCAGCCTAGGGAAATCATAACCTCTAGTCTAGAGAAGAACGATTCCCCATAGACCTTAAGCATAGAGAAGTAGAAACTCCTAGATTAAAGATTCTTACCTTGACTTTTTCTGAAACTTATCCCAAAGGGGGAAATCAAACCCAAACCTGTAGACTTGGAAATTCCCTTCACCATACTGAGTTGGGGGCAGCCAATCACAAGCCTATAGGCTTGGAATTCCCCAAGCCTTCCCACTATATAAACCCCCTCCCCGTGTCACTCAAAGTCTCCCTTGTTCTGCTTCTGTTGTTGCTATTGCTGGGACTTCTGATGTTATTGCTGCTCTTCTGGATAGATCGCAGGACCCTGGTCAACTCATAATAAAGACTCTTTGCTTTTGCATCAGATTCAGTCTCTTGGTAATTGATGCTGGAAGTCGTTCTGTATATATGCCAATAAAGCACTGTTGGCCAATAGGGAAGCAAGATAGGTGGGACTAGGAGGCTAGGAGGATTCTGGCAAATGTAGTGAAGATACAATTCACCATGTGTTCTCTCGGGAGCAATGGGCGCTCAGGAGTGCATCCTTAAAAAGGTAAGTCCTTATAAAATATATATTAGCAATTATAGGTCAATAATCAAGTCAGAGCTAGCCGATAAGAAACCAAGCAAATGGACAACAGTTTCATAATTAATATAGTGTCTTGTGTGTTATCTGGGGCCTCGGACAATTTGGCAGGACCCAAGCGGCTAGTGGGAAGACTACACGTTACAGGTAGTAATTTGGGGATCCAGAGGGCATGACATATGTATATGGGCCGCATACATGCCTGGTACCTCTTGGAGGTCAGAAGATGGTGTCAGATGCTCTGGAACTGTGATGATGAGTGGTTGTTAGATACTGTTTGGATGACTGTATCTAACCCAGTCTTCTTTGAGAGCAACAAATGATCTTAACAGGCAAGCCATCTCTCTCTAACCCCTGAAGTGACTTTTATGAATAAAATATTTTTTCTCAAGCAATTCCTTATCTTTTGCACATAAGAAAGGACCTAGATTAATCAGGTCAGTTGTTAATATATACTATTTTCTTTATTTTTAATAAAATTCTAATTGTAGTTTTCACAAAATAATGAAAATACTGAAATACTAAAATTAAACCCAGCCAAGAACTCAATGGCACAAAACCAAATG